TTTCAAAAGCATTTATTCAAGTTACAATTCAGATTCAATCTGAGCAATTCAAATTCAAATTTAACTTATTCAAATTCAGTTTCTGATGGCACAGATTTCTGCCCATAGTTCACCTTCAAAATCATCAGCAGCTTTGTTTGCTCAGGGATCAGAGGTTGTTGTCATGGAAACAGAGTCAGCTGCTTCCTGCTGGCAACTGAAGTCAGGCAGACTAATCAGAGATTTATGAAGGATCAATGTATTGGTTATTGGCAGAAAAGATCATATAATATTATTTTATTAGAACACGTGTTTGAGGTTTCATCATGCAAATAACGTGTAAATCTGAAAATTAACTTCTAATTGTACTCTGTCTAAATGAAGTGTTCAATAAAGTTAAGTATTCAAACTCATTTATACATTCTGTTATTTTTATTCGAGACACAAACCTGAAGAACAAAAACATCTGACCGCATATAAAACATGGATGACTGCGAGAAACAATGCACACCAAAATGTTTGTCATCTGTCCCCAAATCTGACGGATGGGACCAAAATCTTCAAAATAAACTCCCTGTTTGACTCAGAGCTGAGAGCAGAGACTCAAGCTGTGTCCCAAAACGTAGGCTGCATCCTCCGGAGGCCACATTTGAAGGCCGATTATGTCACAGCCAGGCGACGAAGGCTGTCCCAATTCGTTGACTCCTTCAAATGTGGCCGACAAATGCGTCCTTCATTTCCCCGAATTTGAAGGACGGGTCAGGTGTGTCCTTTGTGGCCCACCATATATCCCAGAATTCATAGCCCGGCCCAGCCAATTCCAGTTTTCAACAACGGCGGCCGCTACTAAGTTTTAATATTACTCTTATTACTCTTTCTGGGTCACAAAATAAACTTTTAACATATTTTCAGGCAAGAATGTAGTTGAGTAAACTGCTTGGTTTATCAAGACATCGCATATTTGCAGAAGTGTTCTGACGTTTTCGGAAATGTCTGTTACCCACCCCCTCAATAGCTAGCCGGGGGTTTCAATGGTCACTCGAGCCAGCGAGAACAGTGGACTCCCAGCTTCATCGTTTTCAGACCCCTGCTGTCTTTTGCTACTCAGGTTAAACATGATATATAAGTCACTCCGATAACTTAAAAATGTAATTGTTTGCCCTTTTTCTGTGTTTTATTTGTTCCGGAGTAAATCAGTTTGGCTGAGATCAAAGTTATTAGATTAGATTAAATAAAACTTTATTAATCCATCAGGTGGGTTCCTCTGGGATTTTCACACAGCTGAATAAACGTCAAACAGAAAACGGATTACACAGAAGTGTGAGACGGTTGAGAATTTACCCCAGTGTCCTGTTGTATTTTAGATAGCAAGGAGAAGACGGCTGAGTTTATTAAACTCCACCGAGACAGCGGTGACGTAAATCTGAAGGCTAGACTGTCCCATTTCTTTTTTTTTTTTTGCCTGTCCCATTTGGTTCTTTAGCCGTCAGAATTGTTGTCGGAAGACCAACAAGGATACCCAGTGGATTTATTTTGCCAAATGGATCATCTGGCATTGCCGTATTGGTCCATTTGATCGACCTTTGTTTTTATTATTTATTTTATTTTATTTTCAGTTGTTACAGACGGGAAAGACAGGAGTGAGGGATAGGAAAGGGAGAAAGAAAGAGGAAGGAAAAGAAAAACAGAAGGGGAGAGGGACAGTGAGAAAGGGAAAAAAAAATTCTCCTGGATCACCTGTTGAGAAAGAAAGAATAGAAAACAAGCAAAAAAAAAAACAAAGCAACATACTAAACACAACACCATCGCATTAATCTAGCTAAGTGTAAACAGCAGTAAATACTAAATATT